CGTTCTTTATGGTGGAGTAGTACTCCATTTTACTAAAAACAAACAAACAAACAAAAACAACAAATCTTCCTTATCCAGTTTCCAGTTGATGGGCATTGGGGCTGTTTCCAAGTTTTAGCTATTACAAACTGTGCTGCTATGAACATGGGTGCTCATATATCCCTGTGGTATGATTCTTTTAATTCTTTTGGGACGATCCCAGCAGAGGAATAGCTGGGTCAAATGGGACCTCTAAACTGAGTGTTTGAGGTATCTCCATATTGATTTCCACAGTGGTTGCACCAATCTGCACTCCCACCAACAATTGAGAAGGGTTCTTTTCTCCTCACAACCCTCCCAACATTTGTTATTGGTTGATTTCATGATAGCAGCCATTCTTTCTGGAATGAGGTGAAATCTCAGCATTGTTTTCATCTGCATCTCTTGAATGACCAGTGATGTTGAACATTTTTTCATATGTTTATTTGGTGCTTCTACTTCTTTGTGTGAGAAATGTCTGTTCATTTCAGATGCCCATTTTTGAATTGGGTCTTTATATTTGGAGGGTCTGATTTTTTTGAGTTCTTTATATATTCTAGACAGCAGACCTTTGTCTGAGGAACAGCTGGTAAAAAATTTTTTCCCATGCTGCAGGTTGTCTCTTGCAGTGCAGAGGCTTTTTAATAAGATGAGAACCCAGTTGTTGATCCTTTGTGCTACTTCCCGTGTTACTGAGAATTTGTTCATAAAGTCTTTTCCTATCCCAATGTCTTTGAGAGTTCTACCTCGCTTATCTTCCAGCAAGTTTAGTGTTTCTGTTTTAATATTTAGATCTTTAATCCCCTTGGATTTTAGTTTAGTGCATGGTGAAAGATAGGGGTCTAGTTTTAATCTTTGGCAGGTTGAAATCCAGTTTTTCCAACACCATTTATTAAGAAGGGTATCTTTCCTCCAGTGAGGGTGGTTGGCTTCTTTGTCAAAGATAAGATAGCTGAGTATGTCTGGTGTTGTTTCTGCATCTTCTAATCTATTCCATTGATCCTCGGGTCTGTTTCTTTGCCAATACCATGCTGTTTTGATCACAGTGGCTTTGTAGTATAGTTTCAAGTTGGAGCTTGTGATACCCCCTGCCATGTCTCTGTTGCCTAGAATTGCTTTTTCCATTCTAGATCTCTTCAGTTTCCAAATGAATTTTTGATTGTTTTCTCTAGTTCTGTGAAATATCCTGTTGGGATTTCAATCGGGATTGCATTGAATCTGTATAGCAGACAAAACTCCCATTCTTTTTTTCTTTCCTTAAATTCTTTAATTGGTACATTTTAGGTATACAATACATTTACATTTATCATTGAGTACTTGTACCTGTACATGATGTATCTTGGTTCTTATTTTTCCCCCATTCCCTGTGCTCCCTTCACCCCCTCCACCCTTCCCTATTTACAAAGTCTTTGTTTCCATTTTTCCCTTTTCTCATTATTTTTCCTTTCCCTTCTTTCCTTTCCCCTTCCACTCCCAATTCCCCTACCCCATTCTTTTTTTTTTTTTTTTTTTAATTGTACCAGGGATCAAACTCGGGACCTTGCGCTTTCGAGGCAGGCACTGGAGCCACTGAGCTAAATCCCCGGCCCTCTCACACCATTCTTAACAGACATGAGTGTCTCTCTAAAATGCTCCAGAATCCCAAAGTGTGTGTATGAGGGCTTGGGGCTGCATGGGAGGAGGAGGGTGCTAGAACTGAGATCCCATTGCTGCCTGGTCAGTGTGTCACCTACTGCTGCATCAAAAATACCTGGAGGGCCCTGGCTCTTCCTCTGCAGCTCTTAGGGATGGGTCCCTTGGTCTCCATACTCTTCCACCAGCAGCCATAGCCATGGTTGATGTCTTTTAAACATAGGCAGTAAGAATGCACCTTCCAAGGAGAAAAATCCTTTCCAATTATTAAAAACCTGCAATGTCATTCCTCCAGGGTTTTGTCCCTTTGTATCTGTATGCCCATGTTTCTAAAACAAATTCATTAAACCTTCCAAGATAATAGACACAGTGATGCATATGCACACCCAATAACATGAGAAAGATCATATGAATTCATTGTTAGCTTTGAATTTTAAACATGCTCTTATTTTTATACGGCATGTAGTAATTGTACAAAATTACAAGGTATGGTGTGACATTTCAATACATGCATGTAATATGTAAGGATCAGATCAGAGTTATTGGCAAATGTATTACCTGAGACATTTCTCATTTCTCATTGCCAGCTTTAAACTTATATAGCAATTTCTGTTGATGCTTCTCCACTCACGTTGTCTCTTTAATCCTCACAACTCTCCAATAATGTTGGCACTATATCCTTCATTTTATAGTTAACTAAACTGATAATCAGAGAAGCAGTACAGGTTGCCAGTGGTGAAGCCACACCAGCCACGCAATTTCCTCATCCTGACTCACGACCGTTTTTAAGTAGCTCACATGCTTCCTGGTTGCGGGTTAAGTGGCCACTTCCTTAGCAGAGAGGCAAGGTTCCAGGGACAAGAGGAGGGGGCCAGGATAAGGAAGGCTGCAAAGGGTCTGTGTTAGGTAGGCCTGAAGAACCGAACAAGATTTGCCGCAGACAAAATCTGGCTTGAGGAGCAGGAACAGGGAGAAGGAAGTGCGAGCCCAGGCATCAGAGAGAGGACCAAGCCAGGATGGTAATGCAGCAGCTTTTACTGCCTCTTCTGTCACCCAGGCCTTTTCCTATTCTCTCATTCCTTTCTGATTAAGGAACTTGCTGTGAATGAGCTGGTCCAGGCCAATACTAGCCAAAAGAAAACCAGGAAGCAGGTGTATTCGTATAGAACCGCCAGACCACAGGCCGACATTGAGAGGCCATCAATCCTCGGTCTCCTGTAGCAGGGAGAAAGGCTGTGGCTTGAATCAGGGCTCCTGAGCAAAGTAACAAAAGTGCTGCAAGAAAGAAATCTCATTCTCAAGAATAGATTTTGAGAAAATCAAATTGGAATGTCTGACAGTAAGGGTCCTGTGGGGACATCATACAGGGTCTGACGTGTTGTCACAAACCCACCTTCCAGCAGGGTCCAGGCCTTTCAGCAGAGTATTCAGAGATCCCCAGTCATCTACATGCAGTGCTCCATGAACAAAGGCAGCCCCGCTGGGAGAAACAGCATCAGCCAGCCTGAGGGACAGGAAATACGTGCAAATGGGACAGGGACAGCCTGGCGAGGGGACTGCGGATTCATTAGCAGTGTGTGTGTACCACACTTCACTGTCAGCCTCAGTTGGCAAAACTACTTCCTTTTCGCTCTGCTGCTCTTTTGACCTTGCCAAGTCAAATCACACCCTCCAAGCATGGAAAGCACTTTCATTCATCAAAACCCATTCTGTCAGGCACTACCACAGTGTATGCTATGAAGCAGATCATTTCGTCTCCTTTCCAACCTCGAGATTTCCCCGACTTGCTCACAGCTGTACATCCACAACATGGAGTTCTCGGGGATCCCGGAGCCGGTACAGAATGCTCTTCCATGAGCCCTCAGAAGATTCCTAGCCAATCTCTGGGTTACACGAACTAGATCATGTATGCCTGTAGTTTCACCAGGCACAGAGAAAGTATTCACTAAACACTGCCCTTCGTGCCCACAGCATCTCCCTACATTACATCTTGCCCTGCAACCACCATGATGTTGGACTTCCCTGGAAGAGCATTGGTGCCCCATTGCACCCCTGCTGGGAAACAGCTGGAGCTCTGATTCATAAGCACATACTTGTTAGATGCATTGTTTTGTCCTTTGATATGTCATCTATCTGAGTCCTTCCTGCACCCTCATGAGGCAGACGTTATTGCTACCCCCACCGAGTGAGGATGCTGAAGGGGGAAAGTTTATGTTACCCAGAGTAAATAGTAGATACGCAGCTTGAACATGGGCCCTTTTGTCATCATCATTACCATATCCAGTCTCCCCAGGAAGACTCCAGAACTTCCAAGTCTAGGCCCCATCCCTGTGATGGTCCTCGTGACCTCCAAATCTTCCTTTAGTCACAGGGTCAAGATCTCAAGCAGCAGCATCTTTACCTCAGAGGAATTCACAGGTTCATAGGTGACCAAGGACATCCAAATAAGCATGACATTTGTTGGCCCAACCTATGCTGGGGTTGTAATGAGGGAAACACTCGCATTTGTGACTCTCTGCTGCACGTTTGAGAATTTTAGCCCCATGACCTTCATAAGACAAATGCCTGCCTGAAAAATCTTCAAACCACAAAAACTGGTATTTCATACACTCTGGAAAGGATAGGATTCTAGAACTTTATCTGCTAGTTAAAATCTTAGTCTTTAAAGAAAGGCTGCCAATTTAGATAGTTTCCGTAATATGTCACAGTATATAATAAGCTTTTTGAGGCCTCAGCAGGGACAGAAAAGAACCACATGATCTCTTATCTGGTCAGTGGTACTTTGGCCCTGTCCTTTGGTCTTGTCTGAGAATGGTAAGTGACTTTGCTGTATCTTATTTTAGAACAAAGCATTTGGATTAAATGCCTTTTCTTTATCTATGATCTTTTTCAGGTTTTTTTCCCTTCCCCATATAAAACAGTGTTTTATTGTCACCTTCAGAGCACAAAAGCAGCCTCTTAGAAACGGACAAATCACCTGCAGGTAAGAAATATAAATGCACTTTGAAACCCTGGGAATAAAGATGCAATTTACCCAAGTAAATATGAGTTGGCTAATTCTAACCCTTCTTTTATTTCTCATTTCATTTAAAATCCAGTCCTGCTGACTGTCCTTATGCTCTGCACATCAAATGAAAGACCTTGAGAGAACTTGATCCTTTGAGGAATAAGCCAACTTCTCTAGAGCCAAGTAGCTACTGGTCCAGAATTCTCCTTAACAACAAAACAAAAAGACTGGCTTCATCACACAGAAGTCTTTAAAACAAAATTAAATATGCTGTGAGTATGATGCAGAATGATTTCTACACCATGCGGTCTGTGATCACATTGCTAAAGGGCTATATCTTTTGGTGCGTTTTTCTCTTCAGTTTTAGTTTTACCTAGCTTTGTTTGGCAAGAGTGAAAGGGGAAGAGCCTCCTAAGCAGACCCACAGAATAATCCCCACAGTTTATGACCTCTGCTTTCAGCTGGAGAGGACGGAAGTGCCATTGCTAAACTGTGAAACTCGGGCTTTCCTTTACCCTGTAATGTTTAACTCAGAACTACACACTGAAGACTCCCTCCAGCTCCTCCCCGACCTAGACCCTGTGGCTCCCTCAGATTACTGAGCTGTGAGTCTGTGAGTATTCCTGTGGGGTTTTATTCGCTTCAGGCTTATTGAAAAGTGTGTGTGAGGCTGGGGGGCTGACAAAGAGGAAGAGGAGGAGAGAGAGACGGATTACTCTGTTCAACATTCCTCACTTGGCCATCTCTGCAGCCAGGTGGTGACTCAGGTGGACAGCTCTGAGATGAAGTCCCCGTGCAGGATCCTCAAGGTGGCTCCTGTGTTCCTACTCCTGCTCCTTCGCTTCTTGGCCTCTCCAGCCTCTGATGACCAGTTCAACATGGGCCACTCCAACGGCCACCGCTGTCTAGGTAGGTATTTTTGTGTTTTCTGACGTGGGCATGATAATGAGGTCTAATACTTTGCTTGCACAATAGATCACTTGCTTAATGACATGCATGGGTGTAAGATTCCAAGCAAGGCACCATTAACCTCACAGACTAAAAACTTTTGAGTCTCAGGGAAACCATTCACAGGATATGCATGTAGGCGTAGACAGAAGTGCGATGTGCAGTTGCTAGTTTGATGAGTCAGAAAAGTCTTCTACTTTGTTGGTGGCTGGAATTTGTTTCTCTTGGGTAAACAGCTATAACAGCCTGAAATTCTGACCTTTCCGTGACTTTGACCTCAGACTGTGAGTTTGAGTGCTGCTCACCTTCTTCCTCTCTTGCCTATCCCTACCTGGTTATGAAACCTTGAATAAGTTATTAACCCTCGTCTTGCCTCTGTGTCCTTATCAGTGAAACAGGGAAATAATACTTACTTCAAGGAAATAACACCTACTGTGAGAACTGGGGTTATGCATGTGAATGTGTGCTATTTGCACACAGTCAAGACTCAACCATTTTAGCTTCCTTCATTATTTTAGTGAGTCCAGACTTGGTGGTCAACTGGAAACACTAACTTATCTCTTGCTGAAATGTTTTATTTCCAAGTTGTTTTTGGTTTGTGTTTGGTTTTGAGGTTTTTTTTGGTTTCTTCTGAGGTGAGTCAGAAGTAACATGAGACATTTGATATTCATATTGTACCTGGAAGGTCCACCGCTGTGATGGGTGTTTAGATAGGACAACCCACGAAGCCACACAGACTCTGAACTAAGTAGCAATTGTTCAATCAGCAGACCTCAAAATAGAATTCTGGCTTGAGAATCCAGAAAAAGAAACCTGGGGATAATATGGTGAGCATATGGTATACATGGAAAATCTGGACAGAGATTCTAACACTTTGAAATTATTTCTGGAGACAATATGGAAAAATACCTGAATTAGCCCTGCTTCCCAAAACCGTGACCTCAGGTCGTTATACATGTTAAAGAATACACCTGCAGCTTTTAAGTTACAACCAAAAGATCTTGATTCCTTGAAAATCTTTGGTCCAGAGACCAGGAAGCAGAAGTTTGAGCTACCTCTGCTCCACGCCTGGGAAGTCACCCTCTCTCCGCATTTGGTTTCCTTGTGTGCTTACTTACTGCCAGTCCATTTTATCAAAACAAAGCCCTGAAGCCTGGCAGATGGAAATACACTTGAGAAAGGCTTCAGTGAGATCAGTTCTACTTCTAGGCTGGATGCAAATCAAATGTTTGGATTTAGGCAGGTTACCTACCCTGAGATCCCTGGACCTTCACCTTGGTCAAATGGACTCAAGGTACTCATTCCTTTCCCTGCCTCATTCCATTAAGGCCACAGAAGGTTAGAAGGAGGTAGTGAGGGGATTCCTGGATGAGGTTGCTCTGGTTACCTGTTGCTTCATAGCCAATTAAAATACATGTTTTATTTATGATTTTTGGGTGAGGAATTTTGTTCTTGCTGGTGATATTTCTGCTTCCTGAAGGAATGACTGAGGTAACCAGGTGGTATTTGGATGGTGGATAAGCATGTGCCTGGTCTCTGCTGATGCCTACCGCTTGAAGTTGGTTGGGTGTGGAAATGTGCATTTGTGGGCAAGGGATTTTCCTGAAGTGCCCTCAGGGAAAAGACCAGTAAGAGAGGGAAGGTAGCAGGAAGGGGAGGAAGGAGCAGGCCTGGGCCAGAGCCATAGATCAGGACCTTCATGCGTTCCACTGAGAGCACTGGGACTAGCAAAGCCCATCAGAGCTGCCCTGAAGTGGGCCAGGCCTGAGTTCTGCCATACTGCAGCCACCAGATGAGAACTGACCCCAAGAGAGGTGCCATAATTTTGAGACATTTCTCTGGCCAGGTGCTTCCATGATCCCTCAACTGAACACTCCAAGAAGCTAGGGGAGAGCCAGTGCCTCTGAAAAGGGGCCCTGGGGTGCCCTTCCTGAGGACCATGTGCGGGGAATGTCCTAGGAGGCAGCCAGGGAAGCTTGCTCTCAGCCAGTGGTTGGAGCAAGAACTTCAGGGAGGAGGAGAAAAAGGAGGAAAGATGGAATTTTGGTAGAGCTTTGCTAATTCAACTTCTGTTGTCAACACTCGAACAACTTTCAGACAAAAAGTAGGATTCTATGCCTTCCAATTCAGCTGCAGGAAGGATCCCCAACATTTCCATACATGCACTCCTCACCTGCTTCCTCAGTTGCCACTATATGCCAGGCACAGTGCTCTGAGCCAAGGTCACAAGATGAATAATAGCTATTTTAATAATGCATGCCTTCAGGGAATCACTGTCCAGTTTCGAGAAAAACAAGAACCTGGAGACCGGTAAAGATTGCAGTTCTTAAAATGTATAATAGGTAATGTGAAATAGGAAGAAAAGGGACAAAGGGGAAGGAAGTGGGAGGGCTAGAGGAAAGGATAGAAGGGAATGGGATTAATATGAGAAAATGGAAAAGTAGGAACAAAATCTTTATAAATAGGGAGGAATGGGGGGGTTGAAGGGAGGGCTGGGCAAGGGTGAAAAATAAGAACCAAGAGAGACTGTGTAAAGGTGCAAATTTCCAATGATGAATGTCATTATATTGTATACCTAAAATGTACCAATGATTAGAATGAATAATTGATAATGCAAAATAGGAAGAAAAGGTCCAAAGGGGTAGTAGGGGTAGTGGGAGGGGCAGGGGAAAGGAAAGAAGGGAAAGGAAAAATGATGAGAAATGGAAAAAATGGAAATAAAGTCTTTGTAAATAGGGAAGGGTGGAGGGCATGAAGGGAGGGCTAGGAATGGGGAAAAAATAAGAACCAAGATGCATCATGTAAAGGTACAATTCCCAATGAGAAATGTAATTGTGTTGTATACCTACAATGTACCAATAAAATAATTTAATTAAAAAAAAAGATTGCAGTCCTTTAAATGAGCATTTAGCCTCATTTAACTGGGCATTTAGCAAAGGTTAGATAAGACATCCTGGTCCAACACCCTGTATGCAGCAATAACAATGGCAGAGCTGCGGAGAACTGTGCAGCACAGGGCAAAGGCAGCTCAGAGACAGATAGCAGAGGATAGGATCTTCATGGTCATCACAGGAAGGGGGAATTAGAATTTGAGTGAAGTGAGCAGAGCAAGTTAAAATTTCAGAATTTTAGAAATGTTTCTGCCCAAAGATGGCTGGTGACAGAAGGAAGCACCAGTTACCTCAGAGACTCTGTGCAAGCAGGCTCCTTCCTGCAAGATCCTGGCCAACAAAACCTTGTTGAGCAGAGAAGTTAAACACCCAGTTGGATGTCAGTTAGCCCAATTGGGCAAGGAGTCATCTTTGTTAGAGATCATCTATCTTTTAGTCACCATGCTTATATAAAGTCTTACCTGGATCACAGAAGTACATTTTTGCCTTGATTAATATCATAATGAAATACTTATGGGCACCTTCCCAACACATGGAAGAGACTCTTCTTTCCTATTTGACATGGAGTTCCATCCATTTCTATAAAGATGAGCATTCAGTGATCACATTTGTTTCTTACTCATAAGGCTTATTTTACTACTAGATTATCATCGTATTTACAGCCTCCAATATTCTGTGGGGGCATTCACCCTCCATGCTTTTGTGGAGCTGCATGTGGAGTAATTGGAGTGACCCTTGAAGAAAATAATTATTATAGCCAAGAGATCTTCAGCCATGTGTATTACATTGGTATGTTAATAATTATAAGAAGTATTAGCACCTATTGAGAATTTGCTGTGTGATGAACAGTCTTCCACAGGGTTTATGTGTATTAACTAATTTAATCATCATAATGACCTCATAGAATGCATATTATTATCTCCACTTAACAGGTAAAAAAATTTGAGACAGAGAAGTAAGTAACTTGTTCAAGGTTACATAGCTAGTTAAAATTTGGCTTCTTATTCCTCATTGTAATTCTAAGTGTATTGTTTTTGAAGTAATTAAGTTGAGCTGATATATTTCTTCATCATACCTTTTATAACTGCTTTATTGAGACACAATTCACATACCATAAAGTTCACCCTTTTAAAGTGTAAAATGAAGTGGCTCTTAGTATATTCATGCATTGGGCATCAATTATCAATATGTAATTCTAGAACATTTCATTACCCAAAGAGGAAACTATTCCTCATTGAAAGTCACTCCCTAAGCTTTCCTCTGCACAGCCTCTGGAAGTCACTGCCTACTCCTTTTCTCTATGAGGATTTCATATAGATGGAATAATATAATATATGGCCTTTTGCTGCAGGCTTCGACTTAGCGTAATGTTTTAAAGGCTCTTTAATTTTATAGCATCTATCAACTTCATTTTTTTCTTGGGACCAAGTGACACTCCATTTTAAGGATATACCCCATTTTATTTACTTATTGGTACATGTTTATGATACACAATAATTACATTTATCTTAGAGAATTGATACATATACACATCACAACTTAATCATTTTTATTTCCTCTACCCCTTTAGAATCTCTACCCCATTTTATTTATCTATTCATTGTTTATGGACATTTGAGTTGTTTTTACTTCTAGGTTATTGTGAATTATTTCCCTATGAACCTTTGTATGCAATTTTTCATGTGAACATGTGCTTTTATTTCTCTTAGGTGTATAATAAGAGTGGAATTTTTAGGGCATAGGCTAACTCTACCTTTAACACTCTAAAGAACTGCAAAACTTTTCCATAGCACAGGCGCTGTTTTACATTTCCATCAATAGTGTAGGAAGGACACGATTTCTCCACATTCTTACCAGTACTTGTTATTATCTGTGTTTTTATAGCCATGCTAGCAGGTATGGAATGAAATATTGTGGTTTTGATTTGTTCTCAAATGATAATGATGTTGAATCTTTTCATGTGCTTTTTGGCCACTTCTATGTCTTCTTTGAAGAAACATAGATTCAAGTCTTTGATTATTTTTATATCGGTATGTTTGTCATTCTATTGTACATTTAAAAATATATTCT